ACTGAAAAAACTGTTGAAAGTAGTTCTTATAAATCAACGACGACTAAAATATCAATGGATCACAGTTCCGATGAAAATAACATTCCTGACATACTATCTGAAAGAAATATTGATAAAAGTAAAACTGTAGTAAATGGGAAGGACATTTCAACAACACCCTTAGACTATTTAGACGTAAACATTTTCCCAGATGCAAAAACGCCTGATACGTCAAGTGGTGTTTCAACTAAATCAATAAAGTCAACTTCTGTGTCTATTGATCAATGGGGTGATTCCCCCGATAATCCGGACATGACATCCGTAAACAATTTAGATATAGATAAAACAGTGTTCAGCGGAAAAGAAATTGTATCGAAAACGACGGATACTTCTGATGAAAGCGCATCAACAGATCTTCAAACTGAAAAAACTGTTGAAAGTAGTTCTTATAAATCAACGACGACTAAAATATCAATGGATCACAGTTCCGATGAAAATAACATTCCTGACATACTATCTGAAACAAATGTTGATAAAAGTAAAACTGTAGTAAATGGGAAGGACATTTCAACAACACCCCTAGACTATTTAGACGTAAACATTTTCCCAGATGCAAAAACGCCTGACACGTCAAGTGGTGTTTCAACTAAATCAATAAAGTCAACTTCTGTGTCTATTGATCAATGGGGTGATTCCCCCGATAATCCGGACATGACATCCGTAAACAATTTAGATATAGATAAAACAGTGTTCAGCGGAAAAGAAATTGTATCAAAAACGACGGATACTTCTGATGAAAGCGCATCAGCAGATCTTCAAACTGAAAAAACTGTTGAAAGTAGTTCTTATAAATCAACGACGACTAAAATATCAATGGATCACAGTTCCGATGAAAATAACATTCCTGACATACTATCTGAAACAAATGTTGATAAAAGTAAAACTGTAGTAAATGGGAAGGACATTTCAACAACACCCCTAGACTATTTAGACGTAAACATTTTCCCAGATGCAAAAACGCCTGACACGTCAAGTGGTGTTTCAACTAAATCAATAAAGTCAACTTCTGTGTCTACTGATCAATGGGGTGATTCCCCTGATACTCCGGATATGACATCCGTAAACAATTTAGATATAGATAAAACAGTGTTCAGCGGAAAAAAAATTGTATCAAAAACGACTGATACTTCTGATGAAAGCGCATCAACAGATCTTCAAACTGAAAAAACTGTTGAGAGTAGTTCTTATAAATCAACGATGACTAAAATATCAATGGATCACAGTTCTGATGAAAATAATATTTCTGACAATAACAGTTGAGTATTTTTACGATTAAATGAATATACATTTTTTTTACAGTTGTGCTTCTACATACTATATAATAATTTTAGCTTTTGATTGATGTCGGTTAACTTGCTTACTTTGATAGTGATATGATAATTTGTTTTGTTACTCATTGCTTTTTTGTTGATTTCTTTTTTTGTTTTCCTTTTATATTTGTTGTGTGGTTTTTAATTATTTTAATTTTTTTTGTGCTACATTTTTATGTTTTACATTATATTACTTATATTTTATTTATATTAATTTAAAATTTTATTATTGCGAGTTTTTGTTCTTTATTTGACCCATATTTCCTTTTCACTATATATTATTTATTTTCATTTAAAGTTCTTACGATTGTTTGAATTTGATATTTATCTTTTATAATCTATTTAATTTTTACATTATCGAATTTTTGTGGTCATAACTGAGAATTTCTTTGCGGGTTATATTTATAAGCGATTTGGTATTTTGAGAATTTAATAAAATGGTGTTTTAATTTTTAATTATCATGTTTTCTATTATTCCTTTTCTTTTGTTATTCATTTTTTAATTAATAATATATAATTTTTTATCTATGTTTTTCATTTTTTCTTTCAATATATTTTTCAAATTAAAGTATTTTTGTTTGAATTTTTTTTTGTGAATTGTTATACATTTTTTACTATTCAATTTTTTTGTACTGTCATATTATAACATTATAATTTATGTCTTTTCAATTACACTGTTTAAATTATTATACTGATATTTTCACAAAGAATTTCAATTATTTTTGTTTGAAGTTTATAATTGTTTCTTATCTAGCACTTTGTTTTTATTCTTTCAATTCGTTTTGCTTATATTTAAATAAGTATATATTTTTGTATTTTATTCATACATATTTAAAATATTTTATTTTTATTTTAATGAACCAAGTGTGATTGTTTTTATTGTTATTCTGTTATATTCATTTTTATTTATAAATACATTTATTTGTAGTATAATTTTATTAATATAATTAAATATTTTTATTATTATATTGAATGTTTATATTACCTATTTATTTTTATTTTTATTATTGTTATTATTTATCATATGTTTTTAAAATATAATTGTTATTTTACCTATATTTCTATATATACAATTGTAATTGGTTTTCTACGACAGCGCTAACCGTGAAAACTACTGAACAGATTTAATATAACCGAAGGTTTTAGTACCACTTTTCTAAATAAAAAAGAAGTATAAAGTTCTAGAAAAATTAAAAATAAAGTTAATCTATTCTTGTATAATATATAAATGATCTGGCCTTTAATGTTTCAATTTTGTGACAACTGACAACACCATTTAAAATTTTTCCAATTTTTTTTACAGAGTTGTTCCAAATACTTACCTTCCTGACTCCTGAGTGTCACCACGTCGACTGATTTTTCATTTTTTTTTGTCTGAGTTGAGGGATTTTGCAATTGAACGCATTGAATTTTTAATTGCTCCAATTTTTTAAAGACACTATTTAATAGTTTTCCAATTTTTTACACAGAATTGTTCCAAATACCTTCCTGAGTGACACCACATCGACCGATTTTTCATTTTTTTTTGGCGAAGGGGAGGGAGAAGGGAATTTATACATTAAATAAATTCAAATACACTACCGACTCACTGATCGCTGTATCTCAAAAACTAATCAACGCTCAAGCTTGAAATTTGGTATAGTGGTTCTTCTAATACTTTTACCGTGCAATAAGAAAGGATTCACCAAAATTCGCATTTTAAAGAGGTGCTCAAACAGGGATATTGAGGTTCATATTGGAAATTTTATTTTTATTTATCAATAATTGCCATTGGTTACTCTACAGTAGAAATTATTGTTTTTTTTTATTATTGGTTGCCATTGGTTATTCAGAAAGATCAGATACAAGCTTGCATCAAATTTAATTTTTGAACATTTCCAAAAAGGATATCTGATTTTCATTTACTGCAACAAGTTACACCCAAAAAGAGTTGAACATTTTTTAAATGTTAAAATTTTTTAAGAGTTGCAATTTTTTACGGCCAACGAAGTGCATGGGTTCAGCTATAAAAATATACCATTAATACCGTTAGAAACATTTCAATACGTTTTAATTAACCTTTTTTTATATTTACCTAAATATTGATAATCCATTAAATATATAGTTAAAATTTAATCATTTAAAATTATAAATATTTTAAGGACACTATAATAAAGTTTAGAGGAACTTACATTTTCGTTTTCAGTATTATTATTCGAACCAATATTCATATTTTTATGGCTTAGTAGGTATTACGAATTTTTACCTGAATTTGGTTCTATGTCTATTTATATATAAAACACGTATGTAAATTTATCTTAAATCTGTGTTTGTAGTATATTTTATGTGTATTTATATCGAATTTAAATGCTAAATTAGTTATGTTTCAAGATAAATATATTTTAGAAAATCTTAAATTACTGATTTTTTTTATTTTACAGAAAACTTCATTTATATCCTAATATACAATTAAAAATACCAAAGTTAATACAAATATAAAAATTTGTACTTAATATTCAATATATTATATTGATACAAACAATTTATCGAAATCAAATTTTAACAATATGAAGGTTTACAAATAGTTTTAAAATGGTTCGCTTTACTTTGAAATAAATGTAATGGGAATGAATAATGAATTACCAACTGACCATGTTCAAGTCTGCAACTTAGCTAAAGTTATGAATTGTTTATGTTATTGAAATGTTTAATAATAATAAAATCATTGTTTCTAGTATTTTAGATAATGAGCGGAGCGATGAATGTGTTGATTTTACTATGTGTATGTGTGTTTATGATAAATATGCTTGACTTTTTTCAAAAGTTTTTTCAAAAGAAATTTTATGATTTTCTCAATAGTTATTTAATGCCACAGGAAAAACCACCGACAAATTAGGAAAAAAACCGCTCAATATGGGATTTTTATTTTCAACCCTTTGTTAATCACCATAGAAACGAATAAATAATAATAATACCAATTATAATATAAATTCAACTTACAGGATATAATAATAATAACAATAGCCAGACTGACAAACTGTCTCCACTCAGAATCGTTTTTCTTAAACAATGATGTTATATCATTGAATTCAAGTTTAATACAATCCTTTATACATTGACCCACTTGTAACCTACTGTACAGCAGAGCGACTTCGACTTCCCCACTTTTTTTAAACTTATTGTTGATATAACATTTTTAGGTGGGTCAAAAATCTTGAAAATGTAATAACCAATACTTCCTTCTAAGTTGTTGTTGAGATAATTTATAAAAACAATGTTGAGTGTAAATCCATAATCAGTGAAACCTCTCTTAACCTCTCAATAACGGACAAAATTTCTGGTCCCGGCATAGTCCCGTTGAAAATAATAGATAATGCTCCTCTAAATAGCGGACACCTCTGAATAACGGACGCGGACAGGTTAGGTAGTCCGAAGTGTTTAAATATATCTAAATAACGGACAGCTGTCCAAGAAATACAAACTTATTGTGTAGGTATACAATACTATATGTACCGATATTTTACCGATAAAGACATTTATCTAAATCGTAATTTAATGAATACGATAAGGTATGAAAAATTACAAAATTAAATAAGAACCTATACGAACGATAGTGATGTTATGACTTAGGTACTGATATCAATAGCATTGTCCGTTAGTATCGTATTTACCATGGCTCCGGTACGGTCGCGTTTGACGTTGAAAAATAAAATCGACATAATAAAATGTTATGATGCAAAAAAACAAAGTGTTCGTGAATTAGCGACTCAATTTAAAGTTGGTAAAACTCAAATTGGAACCATACTCAAGTCCCGGGTAGATCTATTGCGTAAATGGTGTGATGAAAACGTGAATGGAGAGACAAAAAAGAATTTTATTGAAGGTAAGGGCTTTGAAATAGACCATGTTGTGTTATGAATGGTTCTGCCGCGTCCGTGCTAAAAATTTGCCTATCTCTGGTCCTCTCATACAGCCAAAAGCGTTAGAAATTGCTAAAACTTTGGGTAGAACTAATTTTAAAGCGTCTAATGGATGGCTCGAAAAATTTCGCAAACGTCACAATATTGCTTATAAAGCTATCTGTGGAGAAAGTAGTTCCGTTGACCATGATATTGTAATTAATATTGTAACTAATAATAAATTAGTCGAAATATGTGAAGGATTTGTTCCAAAAAATATTTTTAATTTAGATGAAACTGGCTTATTTTTTCGTGCTTTACCCAATAAAACAATGTGTATCAAAGGTGAGAACTGCAGTGGTGGAAAAATAAGTAAAGAACGAATTACAGTTATGTTGTGTGTTAATATGGAAGGCGATTTTGAAACACCTTTGGTGATTGAAAAGGCGTTAAAACCCCGGTGTTTTAAGAACATAATCGTCAACGATCTTGGAGTAACGTGGAAGGCTAATCGTAAAGCTTGGATGACACAAGAATTAATGAAAGAATGGTTATCAAATTTCGATAGAAAAATGCAAGGCCGGAAGGTTATCCTTTTTCTTGATAATGCGACTAGTCATCCTCATTTGAATTTACAGAATGTGAAACTCGCATTCTTTCCACCAAATGTAACTTCAACTTGCCAACCTCTTGACCTAGGCATTATAAAAAATTTCAAAACTCATTACCGCATAAATCTTTTAAAACACGTAATTTCGTCTATAGATAACGAAAATATAAAAAAACCAAATGTGACAGTTCTTGAGGCAGTTATGTGGACTACAGCAGCTTTAAAAAAAAATAAACAAGGAAACGGTCACTAAATGTTTCATAAAAGTCGGGTTTCCGGGGTCAGATAATATTGGTAAATTAACACAAGTAGAGGATCTGAGTAACGAGTTAACGAAACTAGTTTCAACAATATATCCAACAAATGCACAGGACTATTCGTCAATAGATGAATGCTTACAAACCGAAGACTTATCATTGAACATTGAAGACATAATCAATGATGGCATGAGTGAGGATGAAAGTCATGACGTGGAACAAGAAGAAGATAGTACAGACGATGTAGACGAAGAAAAAATAACACTCAAAGAAGCATTACAGTTAGCGAATAAACTGAAGACGTTTTGTCTCAATAAGAGTGATGCAGTTTCATTGTCACTAGTTAATCAACTCCAGTCTAATTTTGAGGCAATTGCAATACAAGAAAAAAAACAAACTAAAATTTCAGATTTTTTTTTTCAATAAGTAATTTTGTATAACATATTTTATTACGTCTAATTATAATAAATTATGTAATGATAAATAAATGTTTAAAAAGTCAATAAAATTTAAATTTTCAGACATAAATACATACATATTATTTTATCAATTTTTCCCAATAGCGGACACCTCTCAATAGCGGACAATTTGATCGGTCCCGTGAGTGTCCGCTATTCAGAGGTTTTACTGTAATTTGATATGAGCGTCTAAAATTGCCTATCAAACATTTAATTATACGTTCGATCAAAAGGCTTGCGAATTGAATAGGTACATGGTTCCTTATAAGTTAGTATAACAGGAGTTCATAAGTATTAAAGATCTATTGGCACGATTTTTTTTTTTTTAATAAGTAACTATTAAATTTATTTAAATTTCCTAATTATTATTATTTTGCAGTTAAAAATTATAAAATGTTAAATTTTTTTAGCTGAGAATTTGAAATTTAAAACCAGGATTCTCATATATAGTTTATACTGTTCCCAAAAATTAAAAAAAATCATAAATACTGTTATTTTGTATAGACATTTTAAGTTAAAATTTAGACAAAATTACATAATAAAACTAAGAAAAATGATTTTAGTTGTTTTGTTGAAATTTAAAAAAATATTATTTGTGGGTACTTGAGACTTTTACTGTATATTATTATATTGTAATCAGTATATACAACGACATTTTCAAATATAATTTGTTTGGCTAAAATTAATTAATTTAACCTACTGTAATACTAATTCCTAATATTAAATTCAATTAGGTAGATTAATGACAATAATATCATACAGTTTATTTAGTAACATTATAGACTGACAGACCGCCTTCACTCAAAATCGTCTTTTGTATACAATGATAATTGAATTCAAATTTAAAATATCCATTACAGTGACTCTCTAGAGTCTAGATACCTAATGTACAGCATCTGCCTCAGTACCTATCTACTTTCTTCCCCGCTGTTTAAAATGTATTTCCTGTAAAATTCGAGTATCACTAATTGTAATAAGATACATTCTACGATTTTAGATAATGAGCTGAGCGATTTATGTATTGATTTTACAATGATATTTTCTTTTTTTTTCTTGGTTTTTGTACATGATAAGTAATCGAAATAATGCTTCGGCGTTCAACTTCAGTATCTTTTCTTGTGGAAAAGTGAATCTAGTTAGTGCATTGAGGAGGTAAAGTTCCCAGTAGTTTTTAAAAAAGCCTGATAAAACGAAAAAAAAATTATAGAAAAACCACAATATTTACTCAAAACCGGTTTTTGACAAAATCGATTTTGGTTTTTGGTATAACTCTTACTGATTCTTAATTAAAAATTACCATAGATACATGACATTTTCACTGAATGTTTATATAAGTAATTTCTATTCGGCCATAACATTTTTGAAATATTGAGATTATTTTCGAGCTATTTTATAAAGTAGGTTCCACCCTTCTATCATGCCATCCCGTTCTGTATACTTGCACTCTCCATATTACCTATTGTATACATTTTAGTAAAGATATATATAGGTCATTATGGAGGGCTAAATTTGTTATTTACCATGGAGCAATAGGTGATAAGTCTTAGGGTAATTGACTGGAAGGCTTGAATATGGTGAATGTTTGTGGGTTTAGCTGGGCCCCGAATTTGGATGCTGGCCTGATGATTACTTTGTGTAGGAGTAATTTGTTTTTGAGACTCAAGTTTGATTTTAGTGGGGGTCTAAGTAGATGGAGGCAAGAGTTGAGTTATTTTTGTTTTTGCTTAGTGTGGTTTGACCAGGTTAATCTTTTATTCAGAGTTATACCTAGGTATTTGGTTGACTGGTGAAGTGCAATTTGTTTGTTTTTGAACTTTAAAGAGGTTAGTCTTTTGTTTAGTGAAAAATTCACTAGTGTGGATTTTTCGTCATTGATTTTAATTTTCCAGTTTTTGGCCCAAGATTCTATTTTATTTAAATGTAATTGTAAATTTTGAGATGCGATATCAGAAAATTTATTTGACTTAAGTATTGCTGTGTCGTCAGCAATTGAGGCGAGGAGAGTTTGGTTTGATGTAAGTAAATCAGTGGTGAAGATATTATAAAGTATAGGCGAGAGGTTACTACCCTGGAGAACTCCAGCTTTAATATACTGTACAGTTGAGTAATTATTTTTTTGGCGAACGGAAAACGACCGATTTTCAAGATATGATTTGATTATGATTATGATTAAATAAAATGGTGAAGGGAGAAAGTGTTTTAGTTTAAATAGAAATCCATCATACCAAACGCGGTGAAAGGCCTGAGATATACTAAAAATTGTTTTAAAAAAGCAAAAATGAATCATTTTATTTTTTAAAAAGCAAAAAAAACAAAAAAAAATCATGAAAAAAAATTAACATGGATAGCTATATAATTATAAAACAGAATAAAAAAATCTAATTTAAACTGAAAAAAAGAATTCACTACTATGTATTTAGTAAGATTTTCAGTACCTAGTGAAACTGACTCTTTTGTCTGACAGAATGTTTTTATACATAGAAAACGAACTCTCTACATCCACTGAAGTGATTGGTGCATATTTCATGCAAGATAGTTTATACTTACATACTTTTATAGCTTAGAATTTAACGTTTAAAACAAGGGTCCACGTAAATAGGTACGTAAAAAAATTACTCTAGTCACAATAATATCATAGGCTGACTGACCGTCGTCGCTCAGAATCGTTTTTCATATACAATGATATTATATCATTGAATTCAAATATAACACCAATCCAAAAAATCTTTAATCTAAAAATGAACACACATTATTGTAAAATCAATACATTCATCGCTCCGCACAGAATCTAAAATGATTGATACATGTACATCCAAATGACGGAACCAGTTCCGTTAATGAAGGTTTAGGTATCCTTTTCTCTAAGTATAAACCATATTGTGTATTTACGTAAAGTTAAGGAATCGCGATTCCATTTCTTTAAATTTATGAAAACTTTGTAAAATTCGCGAAACGTACAATAACGCGATATGAATGCGACAGATATACAATCAAGCCGATAACAAAAACTATAATAATCCAATATAACCATTTAGTCCGTATTCTGGGTGTTTACATTTCTTATTAATTAAATAAACATTTTTTTAAATGAAAACTATCACTTCAAAGTTCAAATTCCACAGCTATAATAACTGAAAAATGTAAAAAAAGTATTTACACAAAAAAAAGCAAAAATAAAATCGTTTATTTGGAATCAGAATTACGTGAAACGCATTTATATATAAAAATTAGATTTCTATCTTATATTTATAAAAATAAGAATTTGATTTAAAATCAGAGCCCTATAAGTTATAACTTATAGGTTAAACACGTCATTGTAAATATTTTTTAAAGAGATCATTAATAAATTGTCCACCATAATCCTGAGTTTTAAAAGCACTAGAAAATACTTAGATACAATTTTTTATACCAATATTTTTCTTTTCGTCATAACTCCAGAAATATTCAGGGCTAAGTTTTTTAGAATTTTGAATATTTGATACATAATTTTTGTTAAATATAATATCTGTGGTTTTAACTTTAATTTTATTAGGCATTTTTAATTATATTGTACCAATTACAATTTCTTAGGGTATATAAATATTGTGGTAATCTGTGTTATACGAACTATACCCATACAAATCATATCTTCTGGTGGATAATTATTATCGACATTAAAAGTTAGATATTGTTGTAAGAATTTAGAAATAGAATAATTATTAGAAATAATAACGTAATATAAGGAAAATCAAAAACATTTTATAAATTATAGAACAATATTCAATTTAATATAGTTCTAAAAAAGCTCGAACAGTGAAATAATTTGAGTAATTATGTTGTAATCCTGAGCCTGAGGTCACTGCAATAACCTTGGTAATTTTTAAAGCCAAGTTAAGAAGCATAAATATAACTCGTTTGAGTCAATTTTCAGAAAAATAAAATATATCGTAATACAAAGTAGGACTTTGTGTATGTGTTCTTTTTTTATCAATATACGTATTTTCATGAATTAAATGAATACATACATAGAATTTTTATTTTACTGTCTTGAAAAAATATTTGAAACATTTCATGTAATGTCACTAATCTACTTGACTTCTATTAAATCTACCAGAATTCGTTATTTGAATCATAATTGAATTTTATAATTTTAAATAAGGTGTGTTACCCTGGCACCCCAAGGTTAAAATTTTGAATTGAAAATCGATTGGTATTATGTAATATTTTATGTGACAATATGTAACCATGAAAAATAAATGTTGTAACCAAACCGTTACCCCGGGGAACCACAATCCAAAAAATAATTTAATAAATAAAGGTCAACATTTTGACTTGAAAACCGGTGCCCCAGAAAACCAGATTCAAATGCCGGGTGCCATATTTATTATGTTAATAATCTTCTTAGAAAGTTATTATAATATAAGTTCCGAATGTTCAAAAATATGCTAGATATTAGAGCTCTTTGAGTTATTTATTTAACTCTTGTTCAATCAATTTTCTCGTATTGTGGTTCAGTATTCGGATATCCATAGGTGGGGTGGGGGATAAATTTATAAAATCACCATAGATTTTTTTATTAGGTTCTGACTATAGAATTAATGAATATATTAAAATAATTAGGGGGCTTAAATGAAACTAGTAGGGCTAAGATCATATATACCCCAATTGCACCTATGGTTATATGTATATCTACTACTACTTATTTATTGATTAAAATTCTAGTTTGAAAATCAAAATTGCATCCTACAATTTTAATTTACTCATAGCTTAAAGTTATAACTATTATTCATGTTTATGTTGTTTTGGTCTGGCCATGGCCACTGGGCCACAAATGCGGCTGGGCCCCTCCGTTTTTATAGGGACTTGTAAATTTTTTTATTTGCTTAGCATGTACATTGTACATGGTTTATATAGGGAGTAAGGGCCCCATAAAGTATTTATAGATATCTTTAACGGTACGTAATTTTTCTTTACAGGGCCCATAGTCTTGCCTATTATATATTAGTGTGAGCAGGGCATAATAGTAAGTGTCAAGTAATAAATAATAGGAGGTTTTTTTGGATTAATTGCTCTACTACAAGTTAAGTTAGGTTTTATATCTCTCCTTAAAAACAATGGCTCGGACGACGGTATTAAGGATAATACGTATATGGAAATTTGTTAAGTGGATTTGGGGGCTTAGATGATTTGAAAATGTTATAATTAGTACTAATTTCCATTGATCTATCAAGGTAAATAATTTGTAAAAATTATCTAAGTATCCTGAATAGTGGACTACATCAGTCTTAGACTACATCTAATATTACTTATAGTATTTTATTGTAAAACCATATTTAAGGATTATTATCCTTAGTATAAACATTTTAATAATTTAGCAACTACTTATTAGAATTTTGAGTTGGATACATCTACATTTACAAGAACATCATCTGCTAAATAATTTGCAGTAAAAAAGGAGATTCTCATTTGAAAAATATAAGTTTGTATAGCTACAGGACACTCTTTAAAAATAGTAGAAAAAATATTAGGAATATGAAAATACGGTCTTTAACTATACTTAAAAATTCTAAAATTAGAATTTGAATAAATGTATTTTTAAATGAAAAAAGGTGGTGAGCATTTCACTAAAATGTCAAGTAAATTTTGTATTTCATTATGGGGCCCCTTAAAAAATTGATCTGTGTGCTTTTTTTGTGCCAGGCCTACACTGTGTTTATGAACGGGGATTATATTGTACCTATATATGTATAAAGTAAATATAAGTCGATTTCAGATTTTTCATTGTTATAATACAAGAATAAAATAATAAGAATAAAAAACAAAAAACATTTACTGTTTAGCTTATGAATTTAAAATAATTTTTCAGGTACCTACAGTGAAGCACTGTTTTCCTCACACATATGAAGATAATAATCTTTCAAAAATGATGTACACTAAAAACCCTACGAATTACAACACTTATACGAATAATAAAATTGTAGGGATCGTAATCTTAGTTGATCCCCGCCTCCCATTGAAAACTGTACTAGAATCTGAAATTATACATCCGGTTCCCAGTTACCATCATTTAAACTGTAAAGGTACTTCTATAATTTCGAGCCATTAAATTGTCGTTGGTTCTTTTTTTATTGTCACCACACTACAACATATTTTTACTATACACACACAAAATAGTTCCTCGTTATAAAACTAATAGAAATCCTGAACACGATGTAATATAATATTGATCTTATATATATTTAAATGTAATATATACTCATATTATTATCGTACAAATAATATACCATTCATACCTATTTATAGTATTAAATATTAATAAGTTTGCAAGATGATAAATTTAGATTCGACAAGTCATCGCAATGACCAATGAAATTTTAATTATTTAATGTTTCTGGTGCTGGGGTAACGTTACCCTGGTACCCGGAATTTGGATCGGGTTTCCAGGGATACCTGTTTAGTTACATTTTTTTTTGTGGTTACATATTGTTACACAAAAGATTACATAATACCAATCAGTTTTCAAGTCGAAATGTTGACCTGTATTTATTTAATTATTTTTTGGATCGCAGTTCTCCTTGGTAGATGTTTGGTAACAATTTTTTTTTGTGGTCACAAATTGTTACATAAATGATAACATAATACCAATCTGTTTTCAAGTCGAAATTTTAATTATTTAATGTTTCGGATTCTGGGGTAACGTTACCTTGGCACCCGGAATTTGGATCGAGTTTTCTCATTTTTTCTGTGGTTACAAATTGTTACATACAAAATTACATAATACCAATCAGTTTTCAAGTCAACATTTTGAAATTGGGGTGCCAGGGTAACACCCCTTTTTAAATAAGGCCTAATAAAATAGAATTCCTCTTTTAAGTTAATTAGGATTTTAGGAAAATGGACATTCAAAGCAAATATTTATTAATTATTTTACAGACTTACTGGCCCTTATTTTAGTGTGGAGTATGAATAGGTATTAAAATGTATAGGTACATATGCTATATAATAAAAACAAAATATAAATTAAAACAATATAAAACAAAACAATATATGCTATACAATAAAAATATTTGTAAGTTATATAAATTAATTAAATGTCCTATAATATGTTTAAGTTATTTAATTTGACACAGTATAAGTTGTCTTCCTTATGAGAGGACTTTCGTTTGAATTATATACAAACATTTTACTAGTCGGTTGTATTGCTTCACCAATTAGTGAAAATAAAACAGATTCAGTTCCATGTGACGAAAAAAATGGTAAAAGGATTATTGTGTATTTTAAAAAAAATATAAATATTAGGCAATCGGTAGTTATATTTTTTAATAATAATGATATGTCCTGCCTAATTATTGTATTAACTTATATCATTTTTTAGTTTATTTACAATGGGTATATTTAAAATGATAGAAATACAACAAATCTGTGTAATTATTAATTTTGTAAAATATATTTTATATTATTTATTTGAACACGTGTTTTAATGACGTAAATTACGATTAATTCAAACAAACAAAGAATACGGTAATTATTATAAAATGTGTAATTTGATGAGATTACATTGTATACAATTGTGTATTTAAATTGATTTTTTTTTTACTTTATATAATTAATGAAACAAATTAACAACAGAATTAAAAATAAAATAATGAATAATTATTTGTGTGGATCAGTTGCTAAAGCATTTTATATGTACAAAATATACCGTACTGCAGTATTGTGAAATTGTAATGTATTTTAGAATGATATTATTTTCTTATGCATGTATAGTTAGTATACTAGAATTTGTCGTTGCCGTAGTAAGTTCTTCAATTTAAATTATATACATATACAATTTTATTTGTATGAACTAATCAATTTATCTTTAAAACTGTTTCCAATAAATAATTGAAAAAATATAAGATAATGGAATATAATAATATGTACATATTATTGTACATCCATTTATTCACATAAGTTCAATTTCAATGGAATGAAAATAGTATAAATAATATGATATAAATAAATGTACCTGGTAGCTTAAAATTAACAAATCACATTAAAAATTGTTTACAATTTTATATTACTTAAAAACAAAATTATTTATTTATTAATCAATTTGTTATAATTGTTAAGCAACCTAACCAAACTCCCTCTACCTAACAAAATACACATTTCCAAAATTATAAGATAAAATATTTGTGAAAAAAATTTGCACAGATCTGTATAAGTTTATTTAATAATAATGATAATGTTATCAACTTAACTAGAGCATAAATATGCACAATATAAAGTAAAAACATACAAATTAGTATTATACACAATTTAATAAATTATTTTAATTCTAGAAAATAATTCTTCAGAATAATAATCTGACACTCAATTTTTAAATTTATTACAGCAAGCAGATACAAAACCAGCTTTAAATAATAATGAATTACCGTTGTCTCTTTCAAATGAGCAAGTTACCGAATATAATTATGAAAAAACTATTCAATCAAACGCAACTGAAAATAATCAAGATCATTCGATTACAACAAATATAAATACCGAGTTCGTACAAGAAATACATTCAAGCAACGAACTGGATCTAAATGTTGCAGATTCCTCTGATTTAAATTCTGCATTCAATATGGATATAATGTCAGATATGAATTTGTTAAATAATAATGAAGCATCGATTACTAAGGATTATGGAACGCAGATGAGTACTCTCGAAATCTCAAATACAGAGGTAAAAATAGAAGGCATTTCAAATAGTGGTCAAAATAGTAAAATAAATGGAGGGACTACATCAACAACATCATCGACCTCCAATTCGAATGGTTCTCCGTCTAGTTCTTCTCCAAAGTCTCCAACCGGAGATTCAACGGGCAAACCAAATGGTCAAGATTATGATTCCAATGGAAACAAGATAGTTGATACTAATGTTATGAGTAGTTACCAATCATCAAGCTCTTATGGATACAATTCACAAAATATAGCTGATATAAATGGAAAAATTCCAACTCCAGCAACATCATCCCCTGGTTCAAATGGTTCTCCAACTCCAGCAACATCATCCCCTGGTTCAAATGGTTCTCCATCAAGTGCGACTCCAACTTACCCTAACGGACTTTCAAATAGTGGTCCCAATAGTAAATCAAATGGAGGGACTCCATCACCAACATCAACGACCTCCAATTCGAATGGTTCTCCGTCTAGTTCTTCTCCAAAGTCTATAACCGGAGATTCAACGGGCAAATCAAATAGTCAAGATTATGATTCCAATAGAAACAAGATAGTTGATACTAATGTTATGAGTAGTTACCAATCATCAAGCTCTTATGGATACAATTCACAAAATATAGCTGATATAAATGGAAAAATTCCAACTCCAGCAACATCATCCCCTGGTTCAAATGGTTCTCCAACTCCAGCAACATCACCTCCTGGTTCAAATGGTTCTCCATCAAGTGCGACTCCAACTTACCCTAACGGACTTTCAAATAGTGGTCCCAATAGCAAATCAAATGGAGGGACTCCATCACCAACACCATCGACCTCCAATTCGAATGGTTCTCCGTCTAGTTCTTCTCCAAAGTCTCCAACCGGAGATTCAACGGACAAACCAAATGGTCAATATTATGATTCCAATGGAAACAAGATAGTTGATACTAATGTTATGAGTAGTTACCAATCATCAAGCTCTTATGGATACAATTCACAAAATATAGCTGATATAAATGGAAAAATTCCAACTCCAGCAACATCATCCCCTGGTTCAAATGGTTCTCCAACTCCAGCAACATCATCCCCTAATTCAAATGGTTCTCCATCAAGTGCGACTCCAACTTCCCCTAACGGACTCTCAAATAGTGGTCCCAATAGTAAATCAAATGGAGGGACTACATCACCAACATCATCGACCTCCAATTCGAATGGTTCTCCGTCTAGTTCTTCTCCAAAGTCTATAACCGGAGATTCAACGGGCAAACCAAATGGTCAAGATTATGATTCCAATGGAAACAAGATAGTTGATACTAATGTTATGAGTAGTTACCAATCATCAAGCTCTTATGGATACAATTCACAAAATATAGCTGATATAAATGGAAAAATTCCAACTCCAGCAACATCATCCCCTGGTTCAAATGGTTCTCCATCAAGTGCGACTCCAACTTCCCCTAACGGACTTTCAAATAGTGGTCCCAATAGTAAATCAAATGGAGGGACTACATCACCAACATCATCGACCTCCAATTCGAATGGTTCTCCGTCTAGTTCTTCTCCAAAGTCTCCAACCGGAGATTCAACGGGCAAACCAAATGGTCAAGATTATGATTCCAATGGAAACAAGATAGTTGATACTAATGTTATGAGTAGTTACCAATTATCAAGCTCTTATGGATACAATTCACAAAATATAGCTGATATAAATGGAAAAATTCCAACTCCAGCAACATCATCCCCTGGTTCAAATGGTTCTCCATCTCCAGCAACATCATCCCCTGGTTCAAATGGTTCTCCATCAAGTGCGACTCCAACTTACCCTAACGGACTTTCAAATAGTGGTCCCAATAGTAAATCAAATGGAGGGACTCCATCACCAACATCATCGACCTCCAATTCGAATGGTTCTCCGTCTAGTTCTTCTCCAAAGTCTCCAACCGGAGATTCAACGGGCAAATCAAATGGTCAAGATTATGATTCCAATGGAAACAAGATAGTTGATACTAATGTTATGAGTAGTTACCAATTATCAAGCTCTTATGGATACAATTCACAAAATATAGCTGATATAAATGGAAAAATTCCAACTCCAGCAACATCATCCCCTGGTTCAAATGGTTCTCCATCAAGTGCGACTCCAACTTCCCCTAACGGACTTTTAAATAGTGGTCCCAATAGTAAATCAAATGGAGGGACTCCATCACCAACATCATCGACCTCCAATTCGAATGGTTCTCCGTCTAGTTCTTCTCCAAAGTCTCCAACCGGAGATTCAACGGGCAAACCAAATGGTCAAGATTATGATTCCAATGGAAACAAGATAGTTGATACTAATGTTATGAGTAGTTACCAATCATCAAGCTCTTATGGATACAATTCACAAAATATAGCTGATATAAATGGAAAAATTCCAACTCCAGCAACATCATCCCCTGGTTCAAATGGTTCTCCATCTCCAGCAACATCATCCCCTGGTTCAAATGGTTCTCCATCAAGTGCGACTCCAACTTACCCTAACGGACTTTCAAATAGTGGTCCCAATAGTAAATCAAATGGAGGGACTCCATCACCAACATCATCGACCTCCAATTCGAATGGTTCTCCGTCTAGTTCTTCTCCAAAGTCTCCAACCGGAGATTCAACGGGCAAATCAAATGGTCAAGATTATGATTCCAATGGAAACAAGATAGTTGATACTAATGTTATGAGTAGTTACCAATTATCAAGCTCTTATGGATACAATTCACAAAATATAGCTGATATAAATGGAAAAATTCCAACTCCAGCAACATCATCCTCTGGTTCAAATGGTTCTCCATCAAGTGCGACTCCAACTTCCCCTAACGGACTTTCAAATAGTGGTCCCAATAGTAAATCAAATGGAGGGACTCCATCACCAACATCATCGACCTCCAATTCGAATGGTTCTCCGTCTAGTTCTTCTCCAAAGTCTCCAACCGGAGATTCAACGGGCAAACCAAATGGTCAAGATTATGATTCCAATGGAAACAAGATAGTTGATACTAATGTTATGAGTAGTTACCAATCATCAAGCTCTTATGGATACAATTCACAAAATATAGCTGATATAAATGGAAAAATTCCAACTCCAGCAACATCATCCCCTGGTTCAAATGGTTCTCCAACTCCAGCAACATCATCCCCTGGTTCAAATGGTTCTCCATCAAGTGCGACTCCAACTTCCCCTAACGGACTTTCAAATAGTGGTCCCAATAGTAAATCAAATGGAGGGACTACATCACCAACATCATCGACCTCCAATTCGAATGGTTCTCCGTCTAGTTCTTCTCCAAAGTCTCCAACCGGAGATTCAACGGGCAAACCAAATGGTCAAGATTATGATTCCAATGGAAACAAAATAGTTGATACTAATGTTATGAGTAGTTACCAATTATCAAGCTCTTATGGATACAATTCACAAAATATAGCTGATATAAATGGAAAAATTCCAACTCCAGCAACATCATCCCCTGGTTCAAATGGTTCTCCATCAAGTGCGACTCCAACTTCCCCTAACGGACTTTCAAATAGTGGTCCCAATAGTAAAATAAATGGAGGGACTCCATCAACCCCAACATCGACCTCTAATTCGAATAGTTCTCCGTCTAGTTTTTCTCCGATATCTCTTTACGGAGATTTTACGGAAAAGCCGAATGGACAAGATTATGATTCTAATGGTAAGAAGTTAAGCGATAACACTTTTATGAATAGTTATCAATCATCAAATTATTTTGGATATATTCAAAATACAGCAGATCAAGATACTAGTTCTAATTATCCACCAGGAATGAGTGAATATATAAATAATGAATTATTACAAAATTCAGTCTCAAATTTCAATTTACAGAATACTGCTACACCAGATCAGCTTGGTACTGTTCCTAGTAGTTCATTTACTATGCAAAATAGAAACTCAAAAGATTCACCGAGTGGATTGAATACTCCAACAGATATGAATGGACCACCACATACAGTAGATCAGACTTCAACTGGGGTAAGTTCTGTTTCTATTGCTTTGACTAGAGATGCTTTATTTACTTAATCTAATTTTCCACAGACTGAATATTCAAGTTTTGGTTCAGAAAAGTATGGATCTTCGAATTATGATTTTGATTATGAATTACGTAATATGGATGTAGTTGAGGGTTTGAACGATGGTCAATTAAACATTGATGATAGGTATATCTCTGATAATTATGATGATGTGAATAATGACGGAGTGAACATTCCTCTTTTAAACGAAAATGGGGACGTTTATAATAACTATTTTTATGCGGATAATTCTATTAAAACTGCACGAAGTTTGAATGGTAATTTTGACACACAAAATGATGGTAATTATGTTGATGGTTATTTCGGAAATGTTCCGTTTGATGATGGTATTATGCAAGAACCTTCCTATGAACCTTATGCACCTAATTTAAATGCTAGGTATGAAAATAGTCAACTGCAGTATGGATTTAATCAGAATCCCCCACCTTTCAGAGGTTATCCATATATGGGAAATGATATTACGCCTTTTGACACCAATATTTATCCTGATATTAGTCCTCAAATGTCTGTTGCTGACCTTTATAACTATAACAACATAGATGGCATTGAATATGATCAAACTAAAATTGGAATAGAAGAAACCAGTCCTGAAAATATTCAATTAAGTAGTAGTGATTTGAATACATTTTCAAGTAACCAAATTTCACAAGCAACTGACAGTTTTATAGATACAGATTTGACATCTGATCATCTATTATATGACTTTGTTGATGCTGACAATAGAGATTTAGAAACCATTGATTCAAATTATATAGCTCAAGTAAATGAAAACAATTTGTATAATGGTCAAGGTTTTGATGGTTATAATAATATGAAATCAATAAATGTACCAAAATACAACCAATTTAATGGTGATTATACTACAACTTATTTGAGTAATTTAGGTACTTTTGAAACCAGTTCTTTAAACACAGGAACCGATGCTGCTGTAGATGTTCCTGAAGGACCCTACCTAACACCACAGCTATTGAATTCTAAGTATGATTTGCCTACTAGTAGTGATTTAAATAAACAAAGTTCTGATTCAAATAGTTTCCTAGTTGATAATGTTCAATTGAATGGATTCTTGTATCGTAAAACTGATACATCAAATGATAATACTCAAGTAGAAGGTTCTGCTGCATTCAATTATAATGGTTCTCCAATGAATGTTGTAGATAATCGCTTTAAGTCTATTCAAAATACAGTTTTAAGTAAAAATAATGTATTAGATGTTGGTCAAAATGTGTATGGTGCTAATGGACAGGTTATTGGAATAATCTATAAGCCTTCTGGTATTGTTAAAACTAAAAATCGTCATAAATATAGTGGTAGTAGTAGTTATAGCAGTATCAACGATAGTGAGTTTTCTGATGATATGCATGCGATTGGACATGATATTAAAAGAGCTGCTCGTGATGCAATAGGTAATATACATGATAATATAAAGGATGCCTATGACACTACGAAAGCTGTTGGAAAAGCAGTTGGAAATATTGCAGGAAACGTTGCCAGTAAAGCTGCAGATGGTGTTGGTAAAGCTGCTGATGATGTTGAAAAATCAGCCAAAACTGCATATCAAGATACAAAGAATGCTGCGAAAGACGTAAGAAATGCTGTTGGTGAAGCTGCTAATGATGTTGGAGAAACTGCCAAAACTGTATATCAAGATTCAAAGAATGCTGCGAAAGGCGTAGGAAATGCTATTGGTGAAGCTGCTAATGATGTTGGAGAAACTGCCAAAACTGCATATCAAGATACAAAGAATGCTGCGAAAGACGTAAGAAATGCTGTTGGTGAAGCTGCTAATGATGTTGGAGAAACTGCCAAAACTGTATATCAAGATTCAAAGAATGCTGCGAAAGGCGTAGGAAATGCTATTGGTGAAGCTGCTAATGATGTTGGAGAAACTGCCAAAACTGCTTATCAAGATTCAAAGAATACTGTGAACGGCATAGAAAACGCTGTTAGTGATGCTGTAGATGATTTAGAAGGAACAGCTTAACATTTTTATTAAAGTTATAGAGATGAAGCAAACGAGGCAAAACTTGCTGCTGAAAACACCGGAAATGGTATTATTAATAACTTATAAAAAAAATGTTATGACAATGATTTAACTATAGTGTTTTAACTGATTTAAAAATATGTTAATCGTTGTACAATAGATAAATATATATTTAATTTGGTTATAAAATAATATATTCATGCATTTTCATATAGGCATAAACTATAGAAGATGTTATAGTAGGTAGCTACTCCAAGTGAAAATTTTTAAATTGTAAATCACAGAATAATATGATTATGTTATAGTGTTAACTTCGTTGCCCATTAAAAATGCCAACTCTATATGAATAATATGTTTTATCTTCTTATCTTATCTTAATATATTATAAAATAAAGTCCATTTTTATGTCTGTGTGCTTAGAGCTTAGATCTTTGAAAATATGCAACGGATTTTGATTGATTTTTTTAATTGATAGAGTGATTCAAGATTAAGGTTTACATGTATATAACATGGGTAATATAGTAGAGAAACACTGTCCCTTTTTTGTATGTACGAGCATATCTCGAAAAGAACTTTAGTTTTCACTAATACATCGTTAGATTCACGGGGAAGGTTGTAATGTAAAATAATTTTCCTTGGTGAAATTGATCAACCCGGATAAGATAGGATAAACCCCGGAAGGTGCTCAAACATGAATTTTGAGATTTAAGATAGACATTTTTGTTTATAAATGGTTGCTATTGGTTATAGGAAAAATAATTATTAAAAATTAGTATTTTAAATGTTTGCCATTAGTTATACTCTGGTAGATGGGGTAAAAGCATAAAGCCAATCGTCGCACGCTTATGGTTTTGAATCAAGAAATTATATCTTAAGACAAATATAAGAGTTGAATGTATATTTGTAGCTATTATATTGGTTCTCAAAAATTACTCAACCGATTTTGGGAAAATTTCGAATTTTTCTTGGAGATACCAGGAATGTTTAAAGAGTAGTTTGAACCAAGTTCGATTTATAACAAGTGCTATACCCAATCCATCACAAATAAATTGTTCACCTTGGTCGATTTAGTTAAAAAACCTACCCAAATTTATCTGTGAACTGAGGTACCTAGGTACACTAAACCCAAGATACACTTATATAATCTAAATTTTTTTAAATAAATTTTGGCTTTAGGAATCGGGTTATAGGTACAACTAAAATTAGCTGTTGGTTTATCCGAAGTAAATAGCCTCAAAAAATGACTGGATCGTTTCAATAAAAGTTATTTCAATAGATCAGGTATAACTTGAAAATTGGAGGGTGTATGCAGTTGGATTTTTCAACTCATATAGGCTGTAGATAGGTAAAGGGTAGCTCACACAAGATTTTTTTGGCATACGATAAAAGAAATTTTTTTGTCAATCTATATAGTTGCAATTCGTTACATTTTATATTAATATTATAATTAGAAGAAATATGGTATATACATTTTGTACAAATATATTTATTAAAAATACAAATCTTTGACCTGGACGTCGAGTGGGACAGCTAGTCTTATAACATAACGGCTAAAATATACTAAGCAACCATTTTAAACCAATATAAAACCAATAATTATTGTTATTATAGCTTAAAAATCCATGGCAATCATATTTTATAAACAAAAATTTAAATCTCAAATCTCAAAATTGAGCACCTCCCGGGGTTGGTTCTCTCCATTTTTAAATTAGCCTATGTTTTAAGTTGGACCAAAATACAAAGTGTAAAAACTTCATCAAGATCGGTCCATTAGTTTTTACGTGAAAGAGTAACAAAGTCACAAACTTTCGCGTTTATAATTACTATAAAGGATTATTAATTAATTTAGGTACACATTTCAGAGTATAAGGATTTGATTTATTAACTATTGCAGCTTATCAAAAACAAATATGATTTACCTACATTATGTTGAAATTCAAAATTAAAAGTGTTTTAATTAGTAACAACTAACAACATAATCTCAAATATGAAATAAGTACATTGTTTATTCTATAATAAAAACATAATATTATATTTACATTCAATTTCTGCACACAATTTCCACATTTTAAGTATGATCAAATTATGGTAAGTTGTTTATTGTATAACTGGACGACGGGCGTATTCATTTTACAACATTCGCACTTACTATCTATATGGATTTTTATTGGTGTTAAACAAATTTTTGTAAAACTATAGTTAATTGCTTTAAATATTATGCGTATAAACAGGTAATCTAGCATGCAGGGTGGAGCCTTCCCTCCTAACTTGTTATATTATTATTAATATTATAACAAGTTAGCATAGACATGTATACGGTGGCAGCCACCCTAGGATGGGCTGCCCCTGCAATTTTTGAAAGGTGCCGGTCAACCGAGTTTTAAGTCAGAAGGGTTACAACATTCCTTTTTTTTAAACTTGATTTTTTTGTGGGTATCGTTATAATTACCATTTACTTACAAAGGTTGATTTCCTGACTTCCAAAATCGGAAAACCCTACTATAAAGACTTGAAACAGACGACGACGGTACAGTACGCATCTAGGTATTATTGATATTATTCTTGTATTATTTTTGATTTGTAGCTAGTTGGTGCAAATGTATAATCCAAGGTTGTAGATGAATAATATTTCCGAAGTTACTGTAGATTATTATTGTAAATAGATAATTTAGACTTTTTTTAAATTATATAAATATTTCATTGTGGAGAGGGATGGGCTTAAAAATACGGCTTTGGATAAATAGGGCTTTTTTCAGTTCACTTATCAGGTACCTAGCACCGGTTATTAGCTAGACTGCCCCAGAAGTCTAGTCAGGCCCATGTAAGTTAGGAAAGCCCACATTAAATTCCCGGTTTTAAACACTTTTTAAACAATTAAGAATAATGCCATTACATTTTAAAATACATTGTTTAAAATTGTTATTTTTATTGTTCATTTTTCAATTTTTTGAATAGGTGTAAATCTTTAATAGAATACAATATAATATACCTAATACTTATATTTTATTTATTGGTATTAAATATTAATATATTCTTTATTAATGGACCACCAATCGCGGGGCGTTCTACTGCTGATACCACAAACTTATTTGGCACGTTATACCTTAACCTGTCTGGATCCGGTTTTTGTGTGTGGACGTCACCTAAAATATACTATTAATTGCTCTGCTGTATTTTTTTCAAAATCCAATTGCATAATATAAATAATAAAATATATTTTTGTTGGTTATATACCTATTATATAATTAGTAATAATTATTATATTAATAATTCATCTAAAATTACTAGCTATTATATTAACATTTATAGAAGTCAATATCGATGTACCTTAGAACGGTCTGAAAAGCATAAATGGCATAAATAACTCAAAATGCATTGATCTAAATATTTTGTAAATTTAATTTGTATAGTACATAAATAATAATAAACTCTATTATAGTAAAAAGTATTAAGTCCCTACGAATAATATTATTTCTATTGCAACTAGTGTTTGAAAATTTCATGAAATTTAAAAAAATGAAATATTTCGTGAAATATTTCAGTTTTTTAATATATTTTGTTTTATTTTTAAATAAGTTTTATATTTACATATAATTGTCATAAATTACCTTCATCACTATATGGTACCTGTATGTATACCTAACCTTTGGTATTACACATTTTAATTGGTATTCAAAATTTTTTAATTTTTTAATGTTTAAATGATACAAGTAGGTATACAATATTATACATGTATATTGTATACTTACTGAATCCTGACATTAGAATTTAGAACACTGAACATTGTGTTAAAAAAAAAAATAAATTGTTTTTTTATTTGTGTTAAAAAAATTTCAATGTTTCACGTTTTTGTGAAATATTTCACAACTTAGTGAAATATTTCTCATACTTCAAACACTAATTGCAACAGTCAATCAAAATAATATTAACTAAAAATCGGGTAAGTAGATGGCGCTCTGATGTACAGTAGGTTACAAGTTGGGCCCTGAATGCATGCTATTAAATTTGAATTCAACGATATTGTATCATTGTACACGAAAAATGATTCTGAGTGGAGACGGTTTGTCAGTCTAGGATATTTTATATTATATTTATATTGTAATTACTTATAATTAAGTAATACTTAAGGTAGCCGGTAAGTTGAATTAATAGTATAAAATTACAAAAAAAGAAATAAAATCGTTATCCTTGGTTATTTAATATGTAATTTCGTCCAAATCTTAAGTTAAAATAACTACAAAAAAGAAAAATTTCCCAAAATTATCACTTTAAATGCTTATAAAAAAAAAATTTAACCATGTAATTTTAATATCTACAACTACCATTGTAAAAATATATTAGAGCATGCATTTTTTTTAATATACTAGATGTTTGGGGGCTAAGACGCTAGGGACAACTTTTTTTATGATTGATTTTATGTCATAAATTTCACATTACAGTACCTAAATTACCATTAGCAACTGATGCATTACGCTAGGTACCATAGTTAGGTACCTACATCATTTTTTTAATAATATGATTGAATTGCTATCGATTGATGCTAGATAAGATAGACAAAGTTTTGTATGTTTGAAACCTCACCGGATAGTCAGCGCTCCCGGTGGTAGTTTCAAGAGGAGTACTGTTTTCAGCCCACTATCATAATAATAATATTGTTATTACTGAAAAAAATTTCAGTTACATTTTAAAGATAAGATAGTTACTTGAGTATATTAATGGGAAAAGGAGAGAGAGAGAGAGAGAGAGAGAGAGAGAGAGAGAGAGGGAAAACATATATACATATAATTATAAATCAAGTTGTGTGTGTAGTGTGTACCTACTGTACATAATAAAATATAATTTAAGGAGAGAGAAAACTCAAATAAAAAAAGGTGGGCAAGTGGGTGTCGCTCTGCTGTACAGTAGGTTACAAGTGGTTCACTGTATAATGGATGATATTAAATTTGAATTCAACGATATAATATCATTGTATAAGAAAAACGATTCTGAGCGGAGACGGTATGTCAGTCTATGTAGGTATAAGACATATTATTATATACATATATCTATGGTATTAAACAAAAAATTGACCTATAATAAATTCCAAATTAATCATATTATCACAATATCCATTAGGTACTGGTAACGCGTTATACATCAACAAAAACCGTGATACTATCATAGATATATAATAGTACACTTTAGAAGTTTCAAGTACCCACGAATAATATTATTCAATCACAACAAAATAACTAAAATAGTTATTCTAGGTTTTTTAATATGTAATTTCGTCCAAATTTGAAATTAAAATGTCTGTAAAAAAAAAGTGTGTTTATATATTTTTTAGATTTTTTGGTTACAGTATGAATTATTTAAGAGAATCTTTGTTTTAAATTTTCAACTCTTAGTTATAAAAACTGAACATTTTATAATTTTTTAATTCCAACGATTGATAATTTTCGAGATTTTGATAAATTTTGTCAAAATTCCAACTTTAAATGCTTATAAAAAAAAATCGTGCCTATGTATTTTTAATATTTTTCAACTGATATTGTAACAATATATCAGGAGCCTTGTATTAAATTTTTACACTTTTTGGCCCAACAGATAAAACTTAATTGATATTTATAGAAAAAAAAAACTAAAAAAATTGAAAACTGAAAACGTCCGTAAACGGCTCAAAAAGAGTCAAAATATTTTCAAAATTGTATGGTGTATAGGAAATGCTAATATAAACATTCAGTGAAATTTTCATGTATCTACAGTAATTCGTTTTTTAATTACAACAAAAAAAGGAAATTGCCACATGAGAAATCGAGTGAATATCCAATGTTGTAAAAATTTGAATTTCAAACGCTCATAAAAATTTAATTTGACTTTCCGGTAGAGATTTTTTTATTGATAAAGGTAGACAATCTTATGAGTAATCTTGTATTAGATTTTCATATCTTAGATTTAAAAAGAAAAATTTTTACGAATTCTTAACTCAAAATAATTTGCTAATTTTCGTGATTTTTCCATATTTTGTCAATTTTTGAACTTTAAATGCTTATAAAAAAAATTGTGACTAAGGATTTTTAATATTTTTCATCAGCCTTTGAAACAATATATTAGGAGCCTTCTATTAAATTTTCAAGCTTTCGCAACCAACAAATAAAATTTTATTGATATTTCTAGAAAAAAAACCAAAAAAAAACGAAAAATGAAAATGTCCCTAAACTGTTCAAAATAAATCAAAATATTTTGAAAATGTTATCGTGTATAGAAGATGCAAATATAAACAACCAGTGAAAATTGCATGTACCTACGGTAATTTGTTTTAAAGTTACACCAAAAACCAAATTCAATTTTCTGAAAAATCGATTTTGCGTAAAAATTCCCGTTTTTCCTTAATTTTTCTTTTGTTTTTCTTGGCGCTTTTGAAAAGTACTGGGAATTTTAAATTTTGACCTCCCCAATGCACCAACGATATTCACTTTCCAATCGAACAAGATACTGAAGTCGAAAATCGAAGCATTATTTCGACTACTTACGTGTACACAGATACAAAAAAAATAAAAAATAAAATAAATAAACACACATCATTGTACAATCAATACATTCATCGTTCCACTCAGAATCTAAAATATAAAAATAAGAAAATATACATAAAAATTGAAAATGAATGATTATATGAAGAGAGATCATTAAGTGAACAGTGAAATAAATCTACATTATTTATGGAATTTCCTATAGCTATTAGAGTATTAGAAGGAGAGAATGACATATATTTGGATAAAATGTTTGGTGGATAGAAAGTTTGTTTATGTCTAGAGTTTAGGCAGTTTATTTGAAGTATAAACGTTCGACTAGTTAATGATACAAGATAAAGAGTGTTTACACCTATATAATATATTATAAACCTTGGATACCACCCTCGGTGAAAAGATATTAACCATGAATACAAGAAAAAGGAGACTAACCTGTATTACGTATTAATACTGTTTAGTGTTTGTATATTTTTCCAAAAATTTACAAAACATGATTTTCGAGCTATTACAAGACAATAATTTACGAGTTAAATCTAAAAAATATTCCGACCTGTTTGGTAGTTTTTTTTTCTTCTACTTTTTGTAATTTACACCGTTTTACTCCAAGTGTATGTTTGTCTCTTGATAAATGTTGTTGTATAGAAAACCGTTCTTCAGCAGAAACTTTTAAGTTTCATATATTACACAATAACACAGATCCGTCGGTAGAAAAAAGATTTTGGCCAAACTCTTGTACAAACTGACTCGCCGATGACCATTTTATTTTCGGCATTTTAAACGAAATAATTGAAACTAGATGCACTCGTATTACAACTTACGACAAAAAAGTAAAAAACTTGTAATGAACAATATCGTCAGATGTTAATACCTATCTATCGATTTTATTGCTCTGACAAATTATTAAACAGATTAATATATTATAGTGATTCTAAATATACTTTGATACGCCGTCAATCTCTAACTCGTTATCTAAGTTTTTATAAAACAATATTGTATTTTCCAATACCGAGATACGAGTAGGTACTTACTTTATTGTTTGTTCCAAAAAAAAAATATATAAATTTATATAAAACTCAAGTTAATGTGTAAAATCTTAAAACTTAAAATACAATTTCAAGTTAGAATTTTGGATCCAAAAACTCCAATAATGCCCCAAACACCCTACCCTGCCCTAAAAAATGAAGAAAATTACGTTAAATTAAAAAAAAATTCCATAAAATGCAAAAACAAATGAAAAAAAAATTTCTTATTCTCCAAGAAAAGTACATGTTACGGATTTGTGACCAGACGAGCATCGTACAACAACCTCTAGAATAAAATGAAAAGTGCATCGAAATCCTAGCCCTGTACATTACTATACAATTTGATATATTTTACCTAGATTGGAAATAAAACATATTTTTATCAGCCATATATATTCAAGGAATTCTTAGGATTAGATTATAGCCTATAGGTATGACTAGGTACCTATATGTTATATAGACATTAAACTTGCGATTCTGAATCTGTTCATTGCAACCTCTTTGGTAGATAATAGATTGCTTAAGGTTGCCAATACATAAAATAACATATTATAAGAAAATATGTTTAGGTGTTGTGAAAAAAACGCTTGCCAAGTCAGATATCGGCATGTAAACTTTCATGATTTTTAATTTTTAGAGATTTATTAACTGATAGTACACCCAAGCGGTATAACAAGAAAAAAATCATTTTCATTTTCATTTAGTGAGATAGATCTCCGAAACCGGGGAACAGATTTTGTTGTTTGGGGGGGGGGGGGGGGTCTCGTTAGATTAGCATTGGCTTGGAGAAGTGCAGTGAAGATTTTCAGAACTTTATCTTTAATATTAAATACACTACGGAACCTTAAAAAAAATTAAAACACATTTTATTTGATCACTAAAAGATTCAATATGAGTGTGTCAGGTCGGGCTAAGCTCCGTAGATTATTGGAACAATATATTATCATTTATTATACATAATTTTATTATATTTTAATATAATTTATTTATAGAAGTATAATAATAATAATAATAATAATGTACGGATCGACTTCGGTCGTGGCAATAATTTGCACATGCCACGTTTCCAATAAGCTCGGTGAAATCGAAACTCGAAGTTTCTGAAATAACAGTTCATCAGATCACTCGACTAAATTATTATCAGCGGTATAGCGGTGACTCTGGTGATCGGCTGTGGGGTGGTGGTGCGCAGGCCGGGGTAGGAGCAGCTAGCGTGCGGACGTACTCGAAACTCACGCCGACGTGAATGCGTGCGCGCACGCCCGTGCCGGGAAATCCGTTTTCCCATGCACGGTCGGGAAATCAACGTGCCAGTTCTCCGATGACTTCGGTGTCGTCCGCACATGCCCGGTACGCCGATTCGTACCGCCGGAAAGACGACCAGACAAACACGATCGTCGTACCGCCGCCGTCTATCCTGGTAATGTCGTGAGACACGGTCGCCGTCGATTCGGGTGTACCGTGCGAGGCCTTTGACGGGACCACCGGCAGTGTCGTCATGCAGGTAGTGAGACAGTTTCGCGGACAGTCAGCTGACGACGCCACACGACGACGGTCATAGCCGTGACACGCGTGTCAACACTTGTCTTTTGGGCCGTTTGCTTACCCCTCTTTGCCAAACCCAGCATAACACCCGATTCAAGGCCACCTGACCATGGGGCGTCGGTACGCGATGCTGACCGCCTTGATAACCGTCATACTCGGGACTTGCTCGACGGCGTCAGCCCTAGGGCAGGTAGATAAACCTACAGGTACGTACGAGCGAAGCTATTTGTGAACTATTGAACGATATCACGCATATTAATAACAACATATTATTGTCCTCGTGTTGCGTAAACACCTGTAGTTTTTAAAATTTTCAAACTATAAGAAATTCAAATATAGTATGTTTATATATAGACATTTTTAATGCATATAATTGGTCTTAATTTGAGTAAACATACGGTAATAACCATATTACCTAACATATTCATTCGATTTATCATCGATGCCCGGTGTAAAGATTACAATAACTTTAATAAACATAATATTATTAAGGCATACAACCAGAAGATTCTTGAAGGTGTATTTATAAGCCCAAAGTAAATGTATATTACATTTGAAAATTATATATCAAACACAAAATGTTTGTTACATTATTATTATTACTTTATTACATCGCCGATTGCCGAATACAGTAGGTACCTACCTATAATATAAGATTAAAACTATTTAGGTATGTTATGACATGTTTAGAAACATAATTATTACTACAATATATCAATTGAACTTCACGTACATACATAATTTCTTCTCAATGGGTTTGGACAGGTATGCAGAGCAGTGACGTGTTAAATCATTGTACAACAATGAGCAACAGTGTTTTTGATTTTATAGTACCTACCTAGGTACTCATTATTTGCTTGATACACATAAGCAGAAATAGGGAATAATAAGTAGGAGGAGGATATAATTATATTTTACCTACCTAAAAATGATTATTTTAAGATAGTTTTTTTTCGATACCTATAATCTATTCACAAACTAATTTATCTGTAATTAACAGTTTTTAAAATGTTAAATTAATGACGTTGAAAATGTAATATTTAAAATTTTTAATTTAAGAATTTCTTTCTAGTATAAGAAAATCTATAACATCAAAATATTAAGGTAGGTATATAAAAAGTCTATATTAGAACAATAATCAAAATCTTATCCCGTTCAACAGCTTGCCACTAACCAATATTTTGTTGTCTACTAATAAATTAATAACAATGATAATAATATATTTAATATAAACAGACGTCTTTTGTACAGCAATACTTACCTATTATACATTTACCTCTTTACTATGACCACTGTTAGTTGCTTCCATCACCCCAATAATTTAAATTTAACTACGCTAGCATACATTACTGATTCAAGGTGCCTATTGCGATTTCATAATGTAATTATAAGTTATAAGAGTGACTTTTGACACCTCGTTTACGATCGGGTCATACCGAAATAGTAAAGTGTAGTACTATTTATAAACGTTTAAAATTTTTTATGTGGGTAATAGGTAGATATATTGTATTGTTATGGAAAATTGAATAGGTATACCTATTTGTGTACGAATGTTTTTTGTTTGGAATTCACGGGTTAAGTACTTATCATGAAATTAACAAAACGCCAATCCTGACAGTTGTTTTTTAAATTTTACCCATCTATTCTAATCAATTATTAATCAAAATAACATAAATTATTTTTAATAATACAGTTAAACAGAAAATAATTATTCTAATAATTTGTTTCCAGTAATTAGCACTAGTTATATTAACGTTCGTAATTTCATAATAATAAATCAATTTTTTTTTTAGTTTTTCATATATAGGTACCATTAAAGGTTTTATAATTAAATATTTTTTATAGATTTTTATTTTAAAGAGTACGATTTTTTGTTTAATTGGCAATTGTATAAATATTTGAATGATATTACTCAACAGTGCAACATCCTTAATCGTAAACGTAATACTTTTAAATGTTATATTAGGATAACAACAAGACTTGGTTGTTATTATTAAACAAGCCTTTAATATGAGCATCAAACATAAATTAATTTTTATTTGGCTTGAATTTATTTTATACGATAAAAAACCACAAATATTATATTATATTTTATGCTAGCGTATTTATTTAAAAATACAATTTAGGTATATAATTTTTAAAGCGAAGTAAATTCTTTTTAGTTAATTTTTATAGCATAAATTCAAATTTTTGAAAGTAAATATGCAGTTGTTGATCTACATGTATAATGTTTGTACACATCAGAAGCAACTTCAAAATATATGAAATGTTTTTAATATTTTGCGAAATATACACTTGACAAACAGCTTTGAAAACGTTTAGATTATATTTTTTCTTCTTATTGTCATGCACAATGTACACAAAATTATTATTGTATACCATATATAAATTTTAACTTACTATAATATTAACCCAATATTTCCAAAAATATTTTCACATAGTTGATACGTCAACAAATATATGCAACAAAATACTCTTATTACATTTGTTTACCGAAAACAAACTGGTATAAAACTGTTGGAATACCAACTGTACACGCTGATGTATTGAAATTGCATAAGAAATATTATGCTGGCTTACGAGTAGATAATATAGTCAATATAGATAGTTAAATAGTTAATAATTATATTATTAATAAAAAATATATCAGAAATAACAACTATTATTTGTTGAACGGTAACCTCATTCAATATAGTTTCGCATTTAAACTCAGGAAGAGGCCATTTAATATCAAATAACATGGTTAATTTATTATAAAAAAATGTTTAATGTTCGTTCGTTAAGATATAAATAGGTTAGGTAGGTAATTAATAAATATCCCGATGAATACAATTGAATAAGAATATTTCTTAAAAATACAGATATAAGTGTTAATATGTATTTATGTTATATAATATGGTTAAGTTGAGGATTAAGCTATAGTATACGAGACATCTATATTATATTATCGCAAGGCATTTTTTAAATTTTAAAAATTAGCTCAGTGTTAGTGAATATATTGAGATTGAATTGTAGTTATTTATTTACACATGGATTACGCAATACACTGTTCATAAATAAGTACACATATCACATGATTATAAATTTCTTTATAATATGGTCAGTTAAGACTCAAGCCATGTGTACCTACCTACTATGGTTTCTAAATAATGCTCAAAATGTCGAATTAAATTGAAAATAAACTATTCGAATAAACAACTAATTTAAATTAGCTATATTAAAAAAATATTTATTTGATATTTACATTATATGTGACAAGTGAGTAGTGATTCACTCACTACTACCGTTTACAACTAACTTCTACTTCTACAGTTCTAGTACATTATTATTTATTACAGTACTTGTTTGACCACTGATAGTTCTCCACGTGTACTTAATTACCTACACAAGTGAGACTTTGTCAGATTCCGATAGCATTCCATCAGTCACCGCTTTAAACAACTATCACCTACATAATATGGATATTATATAATATTACCAATGCATTTGAGAGAAACGTAAACAATAAGGAAATATTAAATTAGAAATAGGATGATTATTGGGGAAACAAGTAGGTAATTAGATGTCACCAAAAAACTAATCCAACACCTTTATTAAATACAATTATTACTCAGATACCACCAATACAAATGCTCACCACTCAAAAGAAACGTAAATCGTGAATATTCTCGATATAGGTACAACTATAAACCATTAAGATCATAATTTATTGCAAAAGTACCAAACACAAACATAAAATAAAAATGTAAAACACCGAGCATTTGAAATAAGGTGCTGGGACTAAATTGGAAAAAAATATCAAATCATTTTAATATTTTGAAAAAAAAACATAAATACCTATTTTAATTGTAACGTGAAAAATTTATTAAAATTATTTGATATTATTCTGTGTACAAACTACAAATATACAGCTTACTGTATAAGTATTTGAAAAACCAAAAGTATCGTTTTTATTTGTCACTTTTCTTATATAAATAAAACCTTGAAAATTATATGACCGGAATTTATTTAATTATTTACTTTAAGGGTTTTTTTTTCACAATGACACAGATAAAAACTAAAAAAAGGAAAAGTTAACATTTTATTTATCGTTTTAATTATCTAGAATATGTTACAGAAAAACTTTTTGTTTTCCATTCAATAGATTATGTTAATATTATTCAAATAATATATTATGCACTACCTACCTATGTGCCATTAAACATTTTAAATAGAAACATGTTTTATCTTAATCGTTTAATAGGGTTGATGCATTATATTTTTATAATACAATTATCATAATAATGCCAACAATTTACAATTCATTTTTTGCCACGTGATGCTAAAATTACTTAAAATTGCACCGACATGTTTTACTTAAATGCAAGTAAAATTAAGTGACTCTCTAATGATTAACATTAAAGTGCTTCTTCCTCTTAGCTATCAAGGACCCGCTTGTAATCTTGGTGTGACCTGAGCGTAATCTATTTAGTTTAGGTAGGTACCATTTCATCTCTAATTTATTCTTTTAGTTTTGTGTTGGAGTCTTGCCATCTATTTGTACTCTCATTTAACTTGTTATTTTCTTCATTCCAAATATTTTTCTATTTAGCATTAATGATTTCATTAGTGTAGTTTTATGCATCTTCCTATAAGATTTTTCTTCGGTCAATGGTTGTCCAGTATTAGTTGCGGAAAATAAGGCTCATCTGCTCTTTTATTTACTTTTAGTTCTGAGTGACTTATTGTATCTAGATTATAGTTATTTTTTTTATAAATTTATAATGTTTAGTGACATTGTCTAAAATCTAGTCTCTAGATTGTTTGTCCTGATGTCTTTGGGTTTGATCTGGCTATAGGTACTTTTATGGAGCTTAAGTTTTTTCATAGATACTGAAATTTATATATTTTAATCGTCTTCTAAGATTATGATCTGTATAGCCTTCAAAATAGCTAGGTATTGGTTTGGCTGGAAATATGGAACAGTTTGGTAAAGTTTTTATAAAATGAACAAAACAAAACTATTAGTTTATTATCAGCTACTTATAATAACAAGTAAAATACATTTTTTAAAGAACTTTCCCGTTTTTATATTACATTTTATACTACAGATCAAGATTGTTCTAAAAGTATTAAATATTTAATTAAAATTCATTTAACGGCCAAATCTGAACTATGTTTCTTATTCTTTATTCTATTCAGATCATATATTTATAGTACAATAACT